GCAATGATTAAGGAAGTCCTTTAAACAGAAGGAACATGCTACCAGATGGAAATCTGAATCTATACAAAGGAGTGGAGAGCATCAAAACTGCTAACTATGTGAGTAGAGCTTTTAAAAGTTATCACTTAAAATTCTTTAAAAGACAATCAACTGAATATTTAAAATAGATAACCAACAAGGATCTACTGTAAAAAAATTTAAAAAAAAAGACAATCGGGGCTTCCCTGGTGGCGCAGTGGTTGAGAGTCCACCTGCCGATGCAGGGCACATGGGTTCGTGCCCTGGTCCGGGAGGAGCCCACGTGCCGTGGAGCGGCTGGGCCCGTGAGCCATGGCTGCTGAGACTGCGCGTCCGGAGCCTGTGCTCCGCCACGGGAGAGGCCACAACAGTGAGAGGCCCGCATACCGCAAAAAAAAAAAGAAAAAAGACAATCGACTGTTTAAAGCTAATATGCTAACAATGTACTGTGGGATTTGTAACATGTATAAGTAAAATGTATGACAACAATAGCAAAAAAGTCAAGAAAAACAGAAGTATACTCTTGTAAGATTCTTATACTATGGGTCAAGGAGTATAATATCATGTTAAGGTAGAATATGAAAAGTCAAAAAATGTATATTAAACCCTCATAAAACTACTATAATGAAAAGAGTGAATATGCCAACAAAGGAGATGAAATGGAATAATTAAAAGTACTAAATTAGTCTTAAAAAAAAAAAAGGAGAAAAGGCAACAAAGACCAGAGGGAATAAATATAAAACAAACAGCCAGATGGTAGATTTAAACCCAGCCACGTCAGTAATTACAGAAAATATAAATTGTCTAAACATCCCAAGTAAAAGGCAGAAATTATTAGGATAAAAAAGAAAAACCAACCAAGATCCAACTATAATACTAACAACAAATCTACTTCAAATAAAGACACAAATAGGTTGGAAAAACATGCACCATCTTAACAATAATCAAAAGAAAGCTAGAGCAGCTATATTGATATCAAATAGATAGATTTCAGAGCAAAGAACATTACCAGAGATAAGGTTATTTCATAATGATAAAGGGGCCAATTTATCAAGAAGCCATGATGATGCTAAATGTTTCTGCACTTAATAACAGAGCTTCAAAATAATAATGTTTTCGGAGTCTCACATGAATGAGAGTGTTCTGTAGAATTCTGTATAAATGTTACTTCTGTCTCTCTTCCTTTTCTATTTTTAGTATGATCCACTATGCTCATTGTAAATTAAATTTAAGGACACTAGACCTACCTTCATTTGGTTATCAAAAGAAACCATCCTAGGAGGCAGTCAAAAGTGGTTGCTAGCACCTCTGCTCCTGGCCAAATTACTTTTGGCTTCTATGGACTTCAGTTTTTCCATCTGTACCATGAAGATCAACCGTTCGGAAAAGAAGTTTTTAAACGGTGAACTGTTTCTCCAGCCTAACAGTTTGTGGAACCCCCTAGAGGCTGGGTCAAGTACCAGCTATGCTAGGATGGGAGCAGCGGTAAGAATGGAGGAACCGGAATCCTGGGAGATCTAGATGGGCCCTTGACCCAAATATCTTGCTGGTTGGGCTCCTGATTCTTTCCATGGCTCATGTGATCTGGGGAAAGAGG